AACAGCTACTGGATTTGAGAAAGCTATTCAGATGAAAAAAATGATTCAAGAGAAAGATTTTATAAAATTTAACCGGCGATAACACAGGCTGTTCGATCAGTGAATATTGAATGTTTCCTTATATGGAAACGATTAATTTTTATCACTAGCATTGTCATTTTCATCCTTGCTTGGGGTAGTGCCTCTTTCTTATAACGAGTGGCTCTTGGGGCTTTGTACAGGGTAAACATTGCTGTTCATGATGACGGTCGTCTTCGAGTATAGAATCCAGAGGTTAGCAGTGAATATTTCGAAGACAGTAGGAAAGCGTTGTTCAGGTTAGCAGTGGATATTTTGGTAAAAGTAGCAGAGCATAGTTCGTCCTTCTGTTTCTCTTCGCCTGACAAGCTGGAACTGGACATTCGGGTAGAGTAAACAAAATGGCCGCCTTTATACATGACGGATTGAATGTTCTACGTCTTCTGATTGGTTAACCTTCTATTGGTGGACTATAAAGTGAGTCAAGTCATTTTGACTGGCTCACTAGTTTTATATATATATATATATATATATATATATATATATATATATATATAAAAAAAAACTGCAACAAACAACACTATAAAAGCTAAGATTACTACTGGCTGCTTGGTCTAGGAATTCCGAATGTTTCCTTATAAGGAAACGTCTGATATTACCATTTCCATGTTTTTTATACCGTGACCCGTAGGGTCCTAGGGGCGCCATGTGTACTGCAATCACAGTAGAAGTGGTGTTTCTTGGGCAAGATAACCTGACGGAGCCCAACCCTCTCCAGGCAGGTTTTGAAGTCTGAGTTTTTCTTCTCCTAGGTCGGTTGCCATCCAAGGCTATAGAACCTAATCTCTCCTGCTATCTACTTATTCATTTGTAAAGAAGAAGAGGATTCATACCTTTCCTTGGGAAACGATTCGACTGGAATTCGAACTCGGCTCTCCATCTTCTCAATCATATACATGTATAAAGACTATCTATGACTCCACCATATTATTATTATTATTATTATTTATTAGGTTGAAGCAGAAGTATTTTCGTATTTTAAAAGACGTTTACCCGAAGGCCTATTTTATGTACATATCTAAAAACTATCTATGACTCCAACATATTATCATTAGCATTTCCACCCTTCCTTGAGATGGTGCCTCTTTCCTGTAACAAGTGGCTCTTGGGCCTTGTACAGGGTAAACATTACTGTAAAAAATTATAAATTTTAACCAAGATTAGCCCTGGCTGCTCGGTCAGTGAATGCCGAATGTTTCCTTATAAGGTTGTATCAGAAGTATTTTCGTTTTTTAAAGACCATTACTCAATGGCTTATTTCATGTACACATCTAAAAACCGTCTATGACGCCACTATATTATTATTATTAGTAGTAATAGCATTACTTTTTTAATGTGTATCAGAAGTGTGTTCGCTTTTTAAAGACCTTTAATGGAAGGCTTATTTCATGTACACATCTAAAAATCGTTATGACTCAACTATATTATTATTAGTAGTAGTAACATTACTTTTTAATGTGTATCAGAAGTGTGTTCGCTTTTTAAAGACCTTTAATGGAAGGCTTATTTCATGTACACATCTAAAAATCGTTATGACTCAACTATATTATTATTATTAGTAGTAACATTACTTTTTAATGTGTATCAGAAGTGTGTTCGCTTTTTAAAGACCTTTAATGGAAGGCTTATTTCATGTACACATCTAAAAATCGTTATGACTCAACTATATTATTATTAGTAGTAGTAGCATTGATTTTAATGTGTATCAGAAGTGTGTTCGCTTTTTAAAGACCTTTATTCGAAGGCATATTTCATGTACATTCATTATTATTATTTTTATATAATAAGCTGTATCAGCAGTGTTTTCGTTTTTTAAAGACTTTTACTCGAAGGCTTATTGTATGTACACGTATAAAGACTATCTATGATCCCACTGCATTATTATTTATTATATCAAAAGTATTTTCGTTTTTCAACTTTTCACTCTAAATCACATATCATCTACACTAAAGACTATGACTGTATTATTATCATTATTGTTATTATTATTATTATTTGGGTGTATCAAAAGTCTTATCGTTTTCTTACTGCTTTTTACACCGACGATTTCATGTACACATTTAAAGACTATGATTCAACATTACTATTAATATTATTTTTATACAAAATGATTGATGTCACTCTTCCAATATTTTTCAGCAGCTAAGTGACGAGCGTGATTTAAGAAAAGAAAAAACAAAGTGTTTGACAAGGTTGAAAAAAATATTTCAACAGAATATCGGTCTTCTTCAGGTTATATATAAAGAAATTGTAACGGGGGTTGATGTTAATGTAAGTTACCCCGTGTTACATACATTATATGTATGTTACATATATTATACAGAGGATTCCTTTTCACTTTTATTTATATATGAACTGAATAAAACGTAAAACAATATACAACAGCAAACACTTTGAGACACTTGTTGTAATTAATGACAAGAATGTGTATTTTTCTTTTGGTGGTGTTATTTAAAATATTGGTTTTGTGTGTTAAATGATCTCAGGGTTATTGTCTCCTTTTGTTTCTTTTAAAATTTGGGCTGGTTTGTTTATAATTGTTGCAAAAATGTCATGGTTAAGGGAAGCTTTTGAAACCGTCAACTATGGATTTTCACGGAGCGCAGAAGATACGTCTATGTTGTTCTCTTTACTACTGCTACCTTTGATTGTGATGGAAGGGTCGTTTTTATAATGATGAAATTTCAGATCTTTATTTCTAGAATCATCATCATCATCATGAATCATGTCACCCTCTCTCTCCCTCTCTGTCTGTCTGTCTGTCTCTCTCTCTATATATATATATATAAATATATATATTAGGATATTACACCGAAAAGATGTCAAAATCGCAACACAATTGCAGTCGTGTTTCGATGCGTATCAATGCATCTCATCAGGTGATTGTACAACGGCCGAAACGTAATAAATATAGCAACCAAGATGAGGACAATAGTCCGAATGTTATATAGACTTTTGTCCTCGTTTTGGTGTGAGAAAGAAGCCACCAAAGTTTGTAAAATTATTTTACCTGTAATGGGGTTGAATGTTGTGTAGTTAATGTAAATTACTTCGTGTTACATGTATTAGTTGTTGATAAAGGATGCCACTTCTCTTTTTTATATATGAAATGAATAAAATGTACAACATACAATAACAAACACTTTGAGACACGTGTTGAAATCAATGACATAAATGTGGATTTTTTTTTCATTATCTATAACATTGGTTTTGTGTGTGTTAAATGATCTCAGGGTTATTGTCTCTTTTTGTTTCTTTTAAAATTTCGGCTGATTTGTTTATAATTCTTCCAAAAATGTCATGGTTAAGGGAAGCTTTTGAAACCGTCAACTCTGGATTTTCACGGAGCGAAGAAGATACGTCTATGTTGTTCTCTTTACTACTGCTACCTTTGATTGTGATGGAAGGGTTGTTTTTATAATGATGAAATTTTAGGATATTACAACGAAAAGATGTCAAAATCTACGAAAAATTAATGAAAAGATAAAGGAAAGGAAAAAAACACACAGTGTTTGACAATGTTAACTAATATTTCAACAGAATGTCTGTCTTCAAGTTATATGTAAAAAAGCTTTTCAAGTATAAAAATATATAAATCTACAATAAGTTATATATCGTTGTACAAACGTTGCTTGACTTGTAATGAAAAAAAAAACCCTGCAATACCGGTATGAAGGCGTTAAAACGAATGAAACGCCGCTATCGTGAAGGCATGAAACTGAAAAGTTCTTAATATGATGGTGATGTTGTTCATTTTGAAATATTCGTCTGGGTTACTGGGTCTTACGATAAACCACATCCGTATCCTGAGTAAGACGATAAACTACATCCGCATCCTGGGGAAGACGATAAACTACATCCGACAGCAAGGCCTCTGATCGTGAGGTTTTGAGGAGCATAGAACCCCCTATTTAATTGCTGGTGTTCCCAGCTCCACCCTGATTCGAGGTGGCAGCACCTGTTAGAAGATTCCTGGGAAAGACGATAAACTACATCCGACCACGAGGCCTTTGATCAGGTGGTTTTGAAGAGCGTTGAACCACCTCTTAATTGCTGGTGTTTCCAGGCCCACCCTGAGCCGCGGTTGTAGCATCTGTCAGGGTCCCAGCTATGGATAAATAGTTTGCCTCATTTAAGAAATACATTGGTCAACTCATTTTTGTCTTCTTTTAAGGTTCTTGACGCTTGAATTGAAAAGGTTAAGATTGCTATGTTTCTGGGTAGCAGACATAGAGTAGAGGGCAGTACATGTACATCTTATTTAAAAGAAAAAGGTGGCAGACATATTGATCGCATCAACTTAGCAGCACTTTCTTTCTGCCTATTTCGACGGTAAAATCAAAAAGCAAACGAACTACAAAAAAACCCTCCATTTTTCGATCAATCGTATACACCTGAGGAAGCCCGAGGAATGTCTCGCTGTGATAACAAGAGGAACAAAAACAAAGAGTTCACTAGTCCGACCATTTTTTTACAACGATAATGTATTTTCTCAAAATGAACTTCTTTTTCTATATGTCGTGTCTCTTCTTGACGTTGGGAATCATGGCTCTCCACAATTTCCTGTCTATATAGGTCTTAATAAATCTTGTCGTTTTATCCCTCCTAAACCTTGTAGCGTCATCCATTTACTCAAGCTCATTCTTCTTCTTCTATGTGCCGTGTCTCTTCAGGACGTTGTTGATCATGGCTCTCCACAATTTCCTGTATTTTGTTTCTCTTCATAATTCTTATCTTTTTGTTATCTCTCCCAAACTCTGTTCTGCCATCCATTTACTCAAGCTCATTCTTCTTCTTCTATGTGTCGTCTCGCTTCAAGACGTTGTCGATCATGGCTCTCCACAATATCCTTTTCTTATAGTTCTTATAGTTGTCTTTATCTTATCTATCCTAAAAACTGTACCGCCATCCATGTATTCTAGTTCGTTTGTTCGTCTTTCTTCTTCTTCTTCTTCTTCTTCTTCTTCTTCTTCTTCCATGTGCCGTGCTCCTTGAGGGTGTATGCGATCATGGCTCTTTACAATCTCCCGTCTTTTGTGGCCCTTAATAAATTTTGTCGTTTTGTTATCTCTCCTAAACACTGTTCCGCCATCAATTTACTTCAGCTACCGTTCTTCTTCTTCTTCTTCTTCTTCCTCCTCCTCTTTCTTCTTCTTCCTCCTCCTCCTCCTCCCCTCTTTCTTCTTCTTCTTCCTCCTCCTCCTTCTTCTTCTTCCTCCTCCTCCTCTTTCTTCGTCCCTCCTCCTCCTCTTTCTTCTTCTTTCTTCCTCCTCCTCCTCCTTCTTCTTCCTCCTCCTCCTCTTTCTTCCTCCTCCTCCTTCTTCTTCTTCTTCTTCTTCCTCTTTCTTCTTCTTCTTCTTCGTCGTCGTCGTCGTCGTGGTGTTCCTTGAGGACGTAAGCCATTATGGCTCTACATAGTTTCCTGTCGTTTGTAGCTCTTAATTTTGTCTTTTTCTTAGTTTAATATTTCCTTCCGCTTGTGCTGTTAGGCGTCGTGGGAAGACACAGTCGTCTGTCAGCGGCAAGACGAATGGCCTGGAGGAGATATATCTCGTGAGCTCTGAGAGTGTCTGCCACTGAGTCGCCTCAGCGTTTTCTTGGTCTGCCTCTTGCTCTCCAGCCACGGTACCTAATGGTGTATGCACATAGGGCTGGTTGGTTGATAGGCATACAAGTCCGAAGAACTTGATCCTCTGTCGTTCGATGTGTTGTATGATTGGTATTGCACCTACCAAATCTCTTATTGCCTCGTTCCTGATCTTGTCTCGCCTGGTCTCGTTCACTGTTTTTCTCAGGCATTTCATCTCAAGGGTTTTTGTTAGAGGCCAGCCAGAGTACCTGAGAGTGTATTCTCGTAGGGCTGGTTGGTTGATAGGCATACGAGCGAGATGTCCAAACCACTTGATCCTCTGTCGTTCGATGTGTTGCATGATCGGTATTGTTCCTACCATATTTCTTATTGCCTCATTCCTGATCTTGTCTTGCCTGATCTTGTTCACTGCTTTTCTCAGGCATTTCATCTCACAAGTGATCAGTTCCCTCTCAAGAGTTTTCGTTAGGGGCCATGTAATACAAAGTAGAATCACTGGTATGTCAGCGTTGGTAGGAAAATGGTGTTCATGAGATTTGCCTTGGTGCTCATGGAATTGCTAGGATGTTTTAGAAGAAGAGCAAGTTGGTAACTGACTGGCGTTGGCTTTCTGACATCTGGTTACAATTTCGCTGTCTAGTTTGCCGTTTTCAGTAAATATGCTGCCCAGATATTTGAATCCATTGGTTTGCTTTAGCTGGGTCCTATTGATGTTAATGTCAAGTTTTTCTGGTTTCTTGCTGACGGTCATGCCCCCAGTCTTACTGACACTGAACTTCATGTCGTATTTCTCGCAGCTTGAGATGAGTTGGTCAGTGTGGATCCGGTCGTTGTTCATCATTGCCTGGTCATCGGCAAACATGAGGTCATTGAGTGCCCCAGGATCTGGATTGGTCTCCTTTGTAATCTGATCAATGTAGATCACGAACAGTAGAGGAGAGAGATTGCTGTCTTGCCTAACCCCAGATGTTACTGGAAACCAGTCCGACGTTCCACGTCCCGTGCGGGCTGCGCTCCTGCTGTTAGCGTCCATGGGACGGATGTTGTCTAGCAGATGCACCATAACATCATACGGCCCGAGGACCTTGCATAGCTTATCTCGGATGATTCGATAGAAGGCTTTTTTTTTTCAGATCCACGAATACCAGATGGAGATCTTGGTCATGTTCCATCGCTTTCTCACACAGTTGCCATAGTGCAAAGCTTGCATCGGCGCACCCTCTTTCCTTCCTTAAGCGAAACCGGACATCACTGACGAAATGTTCTGTTATTACACGAATGCACTGCTCAAGGAATAGGACATACATTGCATACAATTTCTCAACAGGGCTGAGTAGTTATATACCTCTGTAGGTATTGCAGTCATTCACGACATACCTTTGTAGATATTGCAGTCTTTCCCTATATGCCTCTTTAGGTATTGCAATATTTCTCTTCATGCCGTTGTAGGTATTGCAGTCTTTACCAACATGCAGCTGTATGTAATGCAGTCTCTCCCTTCATGCCTATGTACGTACTGAAGTTTCTCCCTACATGCTTCTGTAGGTATTGCAGTCTTTCCCTACATGCCGCTGTGGGTATTGCAGTCTAATCCTACATGCCTATGTAGGGGTTGCAGTCCTACCCTACATTCCTCTGAGGGTATTGCAGTTTATCCCTACATTCCTCTGTGGGTATTGCAGTCTTTTCCTTCGTTCCACTGTACGTATTGCAGTCTTTACATTCATGCTTCTGCCGGTATTGCAGACTTTCCTTTCATGATTCTGTAGATATTGCAGTCTTTCCCTTCATGCCTATGTAGGTATTGCAGTCTTTCCATTCAAGACTCTGTAGGTATTGCAGTTTTCCCTACATTCCTCTATAGATATTGCAGTCTTTCCCTACGTTGCTTTGTAGGTATTGCAGTCTTTTCCCTCATGACTCTGTAGGTATTGCAGTCTTTCCCTACATTCCTCTGTAGATATTGCAGGCTTTCCCTTCATCACTTTGTAGGTATTGCAGTCTTTCTCTTCATGACACTGTAGGTATTGCAGTCTTTCCCTACATTCCTCTGTAGATATTGCAGTCTTCCCTACATTCCTCTGTAGGTATTGCAGTCTTTCTCTTCATGACACTGTAGGTATTGCAGTCTTTCCATTCAAGTCTCTGTAGGTATTGTAGTTTTCCCTACATTCCTCTATAGATATTGCAGTCTTTCCCTACATTCCTTTGTAGGTATTGCAGTCTTTCCCCTCATGACGCTGTAGGTATTGAAGTCTTTACCTACATTCCTCTGTAGATATTGCAGTATTTACCTACATTCCTCTGTAGATATTGCAGTCTTTACCTACATTCCTCTGTAGATATAGCAGTCTTTCCTTTCATCACTCTGTAGGTATTGCAGTCTTTCTCTTCATGACACTGTAGGTATTGCAGTCATTTCCTACATTCCTCTGTAGGTATTGCAGTCTTTCCCTACATTCCTCTGTAGGTATTGCAGTCTTTCTCTTCATGACACTGTAGGTATTGCAGTCTTTTCCTACATTCCTCTGTAGGTATTGCAGTCTTTCCCTTCATGAATCTGTGGGTATTACAGTATTACCTTACATTCATCAGTAGATATTGCAGACTTTCCCTACATTCCGCTGTAGGTATTGCAGTCTTTCTCTTCATGACACTGTAGGTATTGCAGTCTTTTCCTATATTCCTCTGTAGGTATTGCAATCTTTCCCTACATTCCTCTGTATGTATTGCAGTCTATCCCTTCATGCCTATGTAGGCGTTGCAGTTTATCCATACATTCCTCTGTATGTATTGCAGTCTTTGACATCTTGACCGAATTTTGAAAAATAAAAACATTATATAAATACATACATGCAACAGACTTTTTCTTATTTAACAGTTAAAATATTTCATCCTTGAAAATGGCTAAATGTATAGCCGAAAGCACTCGGATAAAAAGAACATTCGGAAAGTTTTCATTTGAAAAGAAAAAATATTACATCGCGAGAGAAATTGTATAAAAAAACTAAATAAAAGCACCTTGTCTGTCGCTTATATATATATATATATATATATATATATATATATATATAATTTTTATTGAAAAACAGACCACTTTATAGGTATCATTACAATAATTCATTTCACCAAAATCCAACATTGTTGTAAGTGTTACCTGATGATCCGGAGTCCCTTAAAAAGGATTTTGGTGAAATAAATTATTGTAATGGTACCTTAAAGTGGTCTGTTTTTCATTAAATATTAGCTCTGTATTCACATTGAGCTCTCTGAATTTCATCCTCCTTGGAATTACCCATTCGGTTTACCAAGTTCTTCATAACTTAACTTATATATATATATATATATATATATATATATGTGTGTGTGTGTGTGTGTCTGTAGGGTGCGCGTGTGTGTATGTATGTGACATGTTTCGTCGACAGTTCCCGTTCTTCCTTTCTTACGATTTGCTCGTCTTCCTTTACTAATATGATCGAAATAAAAGTATAAAATTTAATATTACAAGACATATTAAAACAATATTAAATAATAAAAAAAAACTCAACAACAAGGGGGGGAGCAACCGGTTTCGCTCCCGCTCTTCATATTAAATGTCGACTGGTTCACCGTGTTGGCCCGGTCACACTCTGTATTCCATCTGAAGGTTCTGTAGGCGCTTTACATCGGGTCCCGCAAGCCTTCTTTGTGCAAACAACGTGAGTGTTTGCTGAGACTCGCTGTCATCGGCCTCTAGTTCCTTCTTGCATATATATAAAATATATATATATATATATATATATATATATATATATATATATAACTAGACTCGTTTCGAAAAACCCACGAATTTTTGATTTGCTAATCAACTCAATCTCGAGGGAAAAAAAGGTTTTAAAAAAAGAAAGAGCTACAAACATGAACTTCTGTCGACAAAAAATCGCACGGATGCAGGTCTGAAGCCCAAAGAAAAATCCCCGATACGAGTAAACAACTAACTAACAAAAGAGCTCAATACAACCGTAGAGCAGACCTAGATACACCTAGTGAGCCAGACAAACCTACCTAGGTTTCACCTAAAGCTTTCCCTGACCAAACTTTCCCTGACGATCCGTTTAGGTGAAACCTAGGTAGGTTTGTCTGGCTCACTAGGTGTATCTATCTATCTATCTATCTATCTATATATATATATATATATATATATATATATATATATATATATATATATTTTCACCTATTCTTATTGTACATTTCTCTGTTTTAATTTTGAATCTCCCGTGGAAGTCTGATGAGCGGGAGCGAAACCGGTTGCTTCCCCCCCACCTTGTTGTTGAGTTTTTTTTTATCATTTAATATTGTTTTAATATGTCTTGTAATATTAAATTTTATGCTTTTATTTCGATCATTAAATTTTGTACCTAAAAAAATATCTTTAAATATATATATATATATATGGAGATGCGAAGAGATATAATATGAGCAGAAATGTAGGTAAATGTGCTATAAATCCGCAGGGTAGTTAATCGACTGATTCTTTGAAAAACTGAATTGTCAACAAAAGCCCCGCCAATGTGAGAATATTTGGAAGATACTGTGAAAAGAAATTGACGTCATACTTTGATAATGGCCTAGTGACAAATTTTTTTTTATATAATTTTACACAATTATTCAGTCGAAGTGAAAACAGAATTTTTCTCATTCATTTATTTATTTATTTTTTAAATATTTCGTTTGCAACGACATCAATACGCGACCTGGTGACGTATATTGTATCTAACGAGGAAGTGTGATATCTCATGAACGTGAAACCAATAATTTTTTTTAATGAATCGGTAAATTAGAAAATTTTTATTTATAATGTATTTAAGAATTAATCCTAATATATATGTATATATATATATATATTTTTCGGTTTTAGCACCATATATTCTCACCTCCACTGATTAGCAGGATTGGGAGAATGAAGGCTGAGACTGTACCAATAGTAATCGGAGCACTGGGCCTGGTGAGAAAAGGAATAGACAATATTCCTAACAGTGTCCCAGGTAACATCAATATACAAGTTGCCCTGGTTACACGTCTTCGTTTGAAGAAAAGGTGTACGACTGCTTAAAAGATCGAAATTAATCCCAAAATAAACATTATGATGTATCGAAAATATTATCCTTTTTTTAACAGCCTTTTGACTTTTAAAGCCAGATTATGACGATAATCTGATCGGGAATTTGGAGGGGGGGTTGCCAGAAGCGTGGAACCACCTGTTAATTGGTGTTGTTACCTGGTTCACCCTTACCAGGGGTGGTTGCACCTGTTGCATTTGTAGGGTGTAGTTGTCTTGAAGCATCCCCTCAGGAGATTCTTTTTTGCCAACCATTTCATCGCTGCGCTTAAAAGACATCGTGTTTTTATATGTGACACAAATTCTTTCTGTTAATGCCATTGCAACGACCTCTTTACATTGGATCGAGCCAAAGCTCGCAACAGCAAACAAGTATATATATATATATATATATATATATATATATATATATATATATATATATATATCCCACCTTGAAGATATATTTCAATCGAGCAAACTTGAGAGACAGCCTAATTTTACAAACAGCAGCCGCCTATACAAAGCTCTTCGTTAAAAATGAA